GTTGTTTTTGATTCCCGGGTGATTCGCAGTTCTCCAGTTTCTCCTGTTCAGTGGCCACCCTGTTCCAAGAAAATTCTAATGGGTGTTACAAGGAAATTCCAGAAAGAAGTCCAAGGTATTACAAGAAATGTTTTAGTAAGTTTAAGAAGAATTCTACCTATGATTTTTCTTAGCAGAATTCCAAGGTAAATTTGAAATTAGTATCATGAGATTTTTGAAGCGAATTCTATGGTAATTATATTTTAAATTCATAAACTATAAACTCCCTGATTTGTATAGTTTAGATTTTCCAATGTCCGGCAACTTGACTATTTTTCTTTAAAGTCCATGAACATTACTTCGCAATGCAATATTTTTGAGTAATTAATTAAATAAAAACGAATGACTGCAATATGCAGTAAAAAATGCAAGTCCATCTATTAGTAAAGATTCGTCCTGTTTCACTAATTGATTCTGAAATTCTTTCCTAAAATGTTGCTTATTGCTTTTTCCCTGTTCTTCCAGCGAATTCCTGGTTTTTTCCGCTTTTCTCGCTGTCAGCCTGTCCCCCTCCCTAAAATGTCTACGTGGTTTATGAACAGACCCCATAAAATTCCCGGTAATTTCCAGGTTTTTGCCAGGTTATTTTCGATTCCCGGGTAATTATCGGATTTCCCAGTTTTACCTGCCCAGAAAGTTAAAAAAAAAACTTGAACGATCATATAACCTTAAATGTAGGTACTGTCAATAAGATTTTGATGCGATTCCAGACGAATTCGCAAATCGATTAGTTTTCTTATTGTTTTTATTTGGCTGAAAATTTTCAGAAACGTTTCTCCCCAAATAACATTGCAAGTTGTATAGAGGTTTTAAAGCATTCTACAAGCCTAATTCATGGTCTACAGAACCCTCATAAAACCAAAAGTGTTACTTGGGTCATGACCAAAAATGCCATGCCACACAATTTTGAAAAGGGCCTATAGAAAAATGTCAAGCTTATCTTCAGAAAACTGTTGCTCGAAAAATGTTTGTCCAACCGGTTTGGTACCTTGGGCAATGTTGTAGGGAACATCTGGAACTATTTGAAAAAAAATTTGGCACTCTATAAAAATTTTCACTCTTTTTTAAAATTTGACTTAAAAACTTAAAATCATTTTTCTCAATAACATATTTTTTGATTTTTCATTTTTTTTTATAATGAATATCACCCATTGAATTATAGGTCAAGATGCCGAAATGATGGAGAACCGCAAAATAGATTCGAATATGGCCAAAAATTACCAACTTAAAAAAAAAACCTACGTTCAAACAGCTACATCTCGAAAACGGTGCGATATACATAATAAGTAATAGGGGAATTTACGTATTCTCGTCAGTCTAAGCAGCGTCCGAACTTCTATTAGCGATTTCTCAGCATCACACACATACATGACAGGTTTGTTTGATGACATTTATCTGGTGCTTGCTGTTCTACCAATTCCAATCGACAGAATTGATCAAAACGGGTTGAACATGTTTTTACAACGCTCTAAACTTCTCAGGTGAGTGTGACTATTGTCGGCAGTCTCTTTTTCTTCGGCACCCTTTCCATTTGAACTGCGTGTTAACCAGTTGTTCTATTATCGGCAACTCGAAATCAGCCGTATTTTGTAGTGTGTATATTTAATTTAAAGAAAAATATGGCATAACAGGATTGCACAGTCGTAAAAATGTAATCAGATTGAAGCTGAAAAGGTAAGGAATCGGCTTAATACATTCAGCGAAGAGTTTTGATGGGAAAATACAGTGAAATTAACGTTTCAATTTCGGTTGCCGAAAACAGTCAATGGGTGCCGAAGCCATAATTTACCCTACATAGGGAAAAAGTTTTCTTCGGCAATACCTTAACCTATTATCGTCAGGGGGTAAACAACGTCCTTGAGAGCTCCATTTTGACATGTGGATACATTGTGTTTCAGAGCAACTATTGGCCAAATTTGAATGCTCTAGGACTTTGTTTACCCCCTGACGATAATAGGTTAAGGTATTGCCGAAGCCAACTTTTCCCCTAACTGATTTGTAAATTTGGGGTACTTTCCATAAATTAACAATATGGTTCACTCTTCTATTATCCCCAAGACACGATTTTTTGCGATTATAGCGGCTCTAGTGACGCGAAAGGTGACTAGTGCACCGTAAATTAAGCGTAACAAGGCTATCAAAAACAACTCACAGTTGAGTAAAATTTAACTACACGGTAAGAAAAAAAATACCCAAAATTAAGTTTAGATCTCAAGCGCCGCCGGGATTTTCATGAAAATTTTCAGTTTTTATTCATTATCGTCTTTATGAGCAGTCTTAGATGCACAAAGTTGCACGAGTACATTACTATGGTGATGAGGTAAAAACTCGTAAATGTGTTTCCTTCTGTGAAAGCATGTTTAGTCACAAATCGTGGATTTTCTGATATTCTCCATACTGCAAAAATGGTTTTCCTTCCAATGAAGGGGCGGCATCTCTCGGATCTTTAGTATAGCTACTACTCAAATCATATAATTAATTTTAAGTTCTCGCAACAAAGTGCTTGGATGGGTAGAAATTACTTGATGGTTGGAAGGAATTGAAACAATGACTTTAAACGTTGATTCCTCGTGACTCAATCTGAGAAACCGACACCAGCATATGAGAGATAATTTGCTCTATCAGATGATATAGCTAGTTTGAGTGGGCATGTTGCAATTCTGGAACAACCGACGAATAAATGCATTGCTTACATTTGGCTTGTTTTCCTTTGCACATGTTGCTGGGGAACGAGGTACCCAACACGCTAAATTGAAAGTACCCATAAATAAGTAAAGAAAAGTCAATTTTAAAGAAGAGTGGCTTAACTAGTATAAGCAGTTTTTTTACCCATTTATGAGTATCTTTTACCCATTAATGAGTAACTTTTACGCATTAACGGGTAACATATACTCATTAATGGGTTAACAAAATTGCTAATTTAATGAGTTAAGCCACTTTTCTTTACAATGGGTATTGTTTTTACCCAATAATGAGTACTTTAAAGTTAGTGTAAAAATTAAGTTTCACTTTCACTCATCATGTGGCTTCCATGGGGCTAGGTAACATTAAATTAATGATGAAAACTAAATTTTGAGTAATCCTGATCAATAATCCATTGAGTGAAAATTACCTACTGATCAATCGAATGCAATAATGGAGCACGAACGAAGGTGATGGAGCACACAAAAATGACAGCATCAAAAGCAACGCAGGATGCTATGATTTTCATTCAAAAATAAGTTAAAAGTTCCCAGCAGTGAAAACATTATGGTTGAGTTCTTTAACTAAAAATCGAATTCTTTTTTACTTTTTTTTATGTTTTTGAGTTTTTTTAACTTAATTCTGAGTGTTTTTTCTTACCGTATTTGTTAATCTATTACCCAAAATTGGGTTAACGCTTCTAAGCGTGTTGAAAGTTTTCTTCCTGTCAGTTGCCAATGTGGTATGTAAAGAGGGATGGCAGATATAATCTACATTTTCTTTTATTTGTTTGGTTCACCTCTAAGCTAATTCAAACTATAGCAGATATCACGTAATTAGGCACTTTTGATATCATAATATATTACGTTATTACGTTATCAATATCAACTATAGTCTGAACGTAGTAAAATGTCATGACGTCAGGGTAGGCGTGTAACATGCATGAGAAAGCTAATACTGTTTGCCACACCTTTTATTTGACTTAACATATGAATTGATTGCACGCTTAATAATAATAAGGCCACGAGTGTTTTTAGTCACCTTTCTCACCGGGAGAGGGTATTACTTATGCGTCTTTTCAGAAACATGTGGGAATTCTGGAAGTGAACCATATTGTTAATTTATAATATTTGCTACAATGTAAGTATTTATGTGCTGAGCATGTTTGAAATTTACCAACATTAGCCAGCGCATGTAAGCATGAATGAATCAAATGTAGAACATATTCGATGTAAGATCTTTCTAAGGAGAAGAGGGGCACAGAGTTTTACATCACTAAATTGATTTTGCGCAAGCACCTGGAAAATCCTCAACTTTCTCATCGGGACATCGGAAAACAACTCGGAATGTCGTGAAATCGTTTAAGCGGAATCCCAATGCTTCGGTCAGGGATGTGGCCAAAAAGTTGAATCTGTCCAAGTCTTTCGTTCATTGAGCCAAGGACCAGGAGGGACTGCATACGTACAAAGTGCAGAAGGCTCCAAATCGTGACGAACGGCAAAATACGGTGGGAAAATTACAGGCCCGGAAGCTGTACACCCAGATGCTGACGAAGTCTCATTGTCTCATCATGGATGATGAGACTTACGTCAAGGCAGACTTCCGGCAGCTTCCGGGGCTTCTGTTCTTCACCGCCCAGCACAAGTTTGATGTTTCGCAGGAAGTAAGGAAGCAGTAACTTTCAAAGTTTGCCAAGAAATACATGATTTGGCAAGCGATCTGCTCATGTGGCAAACGAAGTGCGCCGTGTTCGTGACTACCGGAACTGTAAACGGGGAGATCTACCTCAAGGAGTGTCTACAGAAGCGTCTGCTTCCTCTGTTGAAGAAACACGAGGGCCCTACGATCTTCTGGCCGGATCTAGTTTCGTGCCACTATTCAAATATTGTCCTGCAGTGGTACGAAGCCAACGGGGTCACTCCCGTACCCCCCCCCCCCCCCAACGCACCGGAACTAAGGTCCATCGAAAAATACTGCGCTACTATGAAGCAGGCACTACGGAAGCATCCCAAGGAGCTCAAATATTGAAGTTGAATGAAATACATATTCCAAAAGCTTACTAATGGGTTATATTCTATTGTCTGAAAGTTAGAAAAGAATCGGTCAACTAGGTAATTTTCTACAACGTTTTTTCCGTAATGCAATTTGATGTGAGGCACCCTTTACTGAACCATATTATGAATAGCCTATCCTAACCTAGGAGTACGAGATAGGAAAAAGCGTACAATTGCCAATTTATCCGGGCAAATAATCACCACTGCGAAATGATTTCAACCTACCTCATTTTTCACCAACGTCTTCAGCTTCACCTTATAGTTGAACTTCCACCGCTGCAGGTCTTCGGCTGCAACACCATCACCAACTGTGACGTAAAAATCTCGAACAAAAATCACCTCGTCGAACAACCGTACGATGGCCGGATAAAATTCCTCGCTTAGGTGAAGCAGCGCTTTGAACGCCATCGCCAGCAGTAATCGCCCATCCTTGTTGGCCGAAGTTTCGCTGGAAATCAATTTTTCGCTTTTCTTCATGTCAACATCTTCTTCATCGGTATTGGTTCTTGGAGGGTCTCTTTTGCCAGGACGATAGCGACCATCCTTCACTAGCACCGCTAACACATCGAGAATATAATTCAATTCGCCTTTCAAAAACCAATTGGTTGACAATTGACCGGTCAGGGTGAAATTACGATTTCGTTCCGAAACCATGCTGGCCAGTTTGATCAAATAATTGAAATGAAACCTATTGTCGACGAACAGCTGCAATGGTAGTAAGTCAGACTCGGCGTGCGAACGCAATAGATCGAGCATCGCGTGTAGCATAAATGCCGGGTAGGATTTCGTTAGGATCAACGTGGGAGCTGTTGAATGGTTTTCCCTCGTCAGTATGCTCCCCAGATTTGGAAGGGGAGCAATTTTCTCGCTTCTGTCCTCCAATCCAGCCGCGGTGCTAAACAGCGGTGATTGACTGTGAATATGAGATTGGAAGCGAAAAGTGACAAAATTTCAATTATTCATTATTCCGCGCTGTAGCGTGCGTTGCGGACGCTTGTGTGGTGATGTGGGGAAAGGGCACCATGAATTCTGCAGATTTAGTGCACTTTATTGCATCAAAACCTCTGGTGATAATATCGATATGTCACGTTGAGCAAACGTGAGCGTGGTCAATCGAGTACAGCTCTGAATATATTATTTAAAGTACCTTGAATGCATACTAACCTTAGCTGTTTCATCAGATCGTCAAACTTGACACTTTTGAGGAAAGCGCTCAAATAGCCATCGAAAAAGTTTCGATAGTAGGTTCCGGCGATGGGACGCACCTTGGCTGCCACATCCAGGCAGGCTCCGAGTAGCAGCTTCTGGGAAAACTGAATAAACGACTTCAATCAATTTTCACTCTTGTCATGGCAGACACCGAAGGGAAATTACCTCATTAACACCGTACTTTGTCGCCCCGTTGAACCACTTACTGAAACAGGCAAACAAACGGTCCCAGTTCTGCGGACTGAATACAGTGGCAACATGCTGAACCCGGTCGTAGCCAATTAATGCTAACAAGGATGCACAGTGTTGACGGATGATGAACGGGCCATTTTCATCCAGGACGAGATGCTGGTAGTGCCATTCCAGTAGGTAAAACAGTGCCGGAAGCAATTCACTGCGGGGAAAATGAGAGGAAGGCAATTTAATGGACATAATTTGATTGGAAATCAGCAATGTTAGCTGGAAGTGAGAAAATTTAAATCGCAAGACGAATAGTCTTTTCCAAACGAACCTCCTTCCAGAAACGGAGATGCTAGGTGCTGCCAGCGATTGCTGTCATTGATATTGATGGAGGATTTGTTTGATCCAATTCACAAATCAATCGAAATGCATGTTACACACAAGGGAGACGTTGGCCGAATGACTATCAATCAACAAACTCATCAATGCTGCTAATCTCGTATATGTACAATGTCAAAGTCTCTCACGTGGTACTACCGATAAGCCACACCGCAATCATGATCAGTAGCATTAAGTACCCGATGAGACAGCCATTTAAGCAATTATGCAAATTTGCCGTATCATCCTGACTGCTACTGCTGTAAGCTATAGCGAAGTGTGCGCTTCACCGACAGAGGAGCAGAGGTTGGTAATTGTAAATCAATAGGCTCTTTCCAAGGAAATACACATGACGGCTGCTAATGATGCTAAATAGGCGGCAGTAGCATGTATGTAAGCTGACAGATGAAGTGGAAAACAACTAGACGACCACCGACGTGAACCGCACAGAAACTCGGGTGGGATGGTGAATGTAGTAGCAGAATCAGTCAGCCATGTCACAGACTGATTGGATTTATTTTTTAAGTCCTCAATGTTTTCCATATCGAATCAACATATAGCAAGGCTGGTAGCTAATCACTTTTTGACGACTGGGTCACTTTTTTCAAGACAGTCACTAAAAAGTCTCCTTTTTCGAGGCTAAGTCACTAAAGTAACGTGTTCTTGTAATCAGTCACTTTTTTCAACAAGTTTGAATTTATTTCAAGATTGATCATTCTTCGAGCAGTGTGTAGGATCTGATAGTCGATGCTTACATTTTATTCTAATATCCGAACAATTCGAAGCACAACGCTTCTACAGACCTTTTTGTCGCTTAATCGTTATCTACATGGTCTGATCTTTCCAGGTTTTTCCAGAATTTTAACGGATAATTTCCAGGTTTTTAATAAGAAATGTATTGCTTGAATGCGAAAAAATATGCAATTTTTTTATAAAACAACAGCAGCAATTAACGCAAATGTTTTTAAGAAATGACAATCAGTTTTAAAGAAACAGCTTTAAAATCAAATCCATCAATTGTTGAAAATTGAAACATATTTAATTTTAGTAAGTATAAGATCTCAAAATATTCAATGCCTTGAAGTTTCGCATTCTTCGTACAAGTTAAACAGTGATGCAAAAGAACGTTATAATTTAATAAGAACAACTAATGAATTTTAGCCACAATAAATCGGTGTTATTTTAATTGATTTGCTTAATGGAACCGAACCATGGACGTTGACCCGTGTGTTGACCAGTCGTCAAGTCGCATAAGAGCTACCGCATGTTAGACGGAAATCATTCATAAGTCACGCGTATGAAATTCATATTGTAGTCTTCGCTCCATATTGTTAATATTAAATTAGTCATAAATAAAATTAGCACGAAACAGATCTAATCCATACGCCAAAAACTATGCCAGTAGCGAAACGACACTAGCTGATTTACATTAAAATTGGAATGCCTCACGAGTAACGCTACTAGACCTTGCGTAGTTTCTCCCAAGACCGAGTCCAGGGAAACCTTCGGGAAAGTTGGGGAAAGAGAGAGTGTGACTAAGTCGGGTTGAACGAAGGGCCAATCGATCTCGTTCGAAGAAGTTCGCGGGAAAATCGAACTTCCGTTAAGTTCGACCGAGGTCACCTTCCCTAATCTGAGGGTCACGGTTTCGCTTTACTTTCGTCCGAACCGCATTTTACAGTGGAAGTGTGTCGTTTTGTTCGCGCTAATGTATAGTTTTGTATAGTGAGTTAAAACAACGTGGTTTTACTTTGTACTTAAATTCTAATTTATCGTTGATTGTTTAGTTATAGCAAATCATAAGCTAAATGTAGTGTGCAGCATAGTTTAGATTTGTGTGCGTAGAAAAAAAAACAATCTAGGCCAGTTAATGTGCTCGTCAAACAAATTCTGTGCTTTGTAATATTATTTCCAACAGCCGACGACTACGTCCAACTTCCGACGCCATCATCTGCATTCCCGGGGCAAAAGATCCCGGAAACCGTCACCTTGTCCGGTGAAAAGCGATTCAAATTTTCATCGCGTATCGGGGCTTGGTGGAAACCAACTGCCATTGTTGAAGAGATCACCGTCCACCCACGTGGAAATCGTTAGCCGTCCAACCGTCAAACATCATCGTCGCTGCCGATAACAGCAGCGCAGCAAACAACAGCAGCGAAACCAACTGGTGAGTCCGATCCAGTTTCTTTGTTGAGTGTGGCGTCCGGCGAGGGCGCCACGGAGGATCTTTTTTGCCGACCATAAGGTCGAAGAGCATGCTTTGCTAAAATGTGGACAAGTCGAATGATTGAGTGGTTGGGTGTAGGCATATAAATCGTGCGCACGTATCATCAGATATGGACGCCCACCCAACCCATTAATAATAGACACCCGGGTGCCAAGTTTCGTCGTTTCCCGCTTGCTGCATCCTCGTGGGATTCACTGAGAGGAAGAGAAGAGCACAGCACAGATAGGAGGTAGTTGTACCGCACACAAGAAGAGGGTTAGGTAGACAAGTAGAATAAAGAGGAGTAGAAATACAAGCAATCAAAAAACATTCGCAAAAACATGCTTTAGTTTACAATAAAATTCAACTTACTGTTTTCCGTTGTGAAATAAATGATTTATTTGAAATCTATGTAATGTTGTTGATCAGTCCCATAAAAAAATACTTTACGTTGTTTCGGGTCCGTGTAATTGGGGCTTATTACGGATGTCACTTCACGGTGACAACTTGTCACTTGTCGTCACGGTGAAGTGATTCCCATTTGATTTGAACGGCAATCACGGCAATCACCGTGTAGTGATACCCGTAATAAGGCCCATTATTTAAGTGAAGCTACCGATGAGGAGAACTTGACGTGGAACGTCGTTTAGGGTTTGTGTATTCTCTTACCGGGAGCTTTTCGGAATTATTTCGATGTTGTGAGAGATTATGCTGTTTCGCAATAGGGGTTTCTACTCGACCAAATTCAGTAGTAGTCAAGCTGGTTCGATCTCTTCTTTCTAGGAAGATTTTCACTTGGACTCGCCATGAGGCAGTCTCATCCGGGCAAACTCAAATTGGCATGCGGTCTCCTTTACCGGAGTGGCGCTTAAGCCGCATGCTTAACCGAGATCGGCCAGTGTCGGCTACAATATGTGTCGTTCACAAGTCAAGCCTTAGGTTTATTTGCCTCAATGAAGATATTCAAAATTTTCAAAGTGCCCATTAACTTCAAAACAATTGCAGGAACTTCACAGAAGTTCGAAGGAATGAAAGAAAATGCTGATAATTTCAGTGAAGCTTTATAAAGAAGCTGCGGGAACATAAGGGAAGTTAACATCCTGAAAATATGGGGAACTTACTGGAAGCCTTAAGATCCTCAAAGCGGTTCTATTACCTTACGAAAAACTGCAGGAACTGTTTAGAAGTTCCAAGAATTCCAGAGAACTTCACCGGTGTCTAGAGAACATCAGAAATATAGAGTACTTAAGGAGAAGAAGTTCTAAGTATCTCAGCAAAGTTAGATGACGAGATCATTGGATCAGAGATCTTAACAGCAGTTCCCGTAACTTTAGTCCAGACTTTTGGAGCAGTTTAAAGATCTATAAGCGAGAGTTTAGGAAAATTCAGGATCGTTCCATGATGTGCCAAAAAAAATCGAAACCCTCTTAAGATGTTCTGAGAATTTCAGGGAAGTACAGATACCTTCAGAGAATGTATGAAAACTTCCGAAATGTTTCAGGAACCTTACAGAAGTCCAGAGAATTTCAGGCAAGTTTAAAGGTGTTACGTTTCCGAAAATTCCATTTATTTCAGAGCAGAGCAGAATTCTAGATAGAGCTGGAATTAGGGCGTAACAGCTTTTGTAAACAATGACTTCTCTCGATGATGTCTAGGAATTCAAGGGATGCCCACGCAAAGCAATATTACCATCGGGTAGGGGAACTCTTCTTCTACCCGATGGTGATGTTGATTTGAGTTGAAACGCCTTGAATTTTAAGAAATAGTCACAAGAAGTCATTGTTTACAAAAGCTGTTACGCCCTAATTCCAGCTCTATCAAGAATTGAGAGATTCAGGGAATTCAAGAATCAAGGGCAGTTCAATTAACTTCCAGCAAATCGCTGAAACCTTGAAGAAGTTTTGAGAAACGCAGGGAATTAACGAAAACTTCAGCAAAGCTCCGAAAGAATTTCTGGACCGCAATAAAACATATCTGTACATCCGGAAGATGCGAGAGTTTTTTAATGGTGTTATATCATGGAAATTTCAAGAACTTAAAAAATTGTGAAAATTAACCAAAGTTTATTAGAGATCATCAAAAATTGCAAAAAAATTCGGGAACTTTTAGCAAGCACTGCTATCTTCAAGAAATTCTAAAGACCTTCTAAGAAATTTAGATATTTTTATGATACTCAGTGAAGTGCCGATTACTTCGAGGACGTTCAGATAACTTCAGAAGACAACAAATCAAGAAGACTGGCAACTCTTCCATTTTCTCATACGAACGCTACAAGACAGGTACAATCGCATCATCTGCCGCTCGAAGGTAAATGCTTCGAACTAAAGAGCCTGAATTTATAAAGAGGCGACATCTTATCCATTTGACAGGTCTTCTGCTCGATTGGAATGACTTTTCCTATGACTTTGACAGATAATCGATTGTTCCAATTTTGACATGTCGTCTCTTTATAAATTCAGGCTTTTTACTTCGAACGAATTTGATAGCAAAGATTACACCCTCAGAAGAAAGGTTTGTGTATTTGCTCATTTTTCTATGTGTTGCTTCCGCCTTCACTCAACCGCAGCGCTATTGTATCTGTCCGATAATTCTATTATTGATCCAAAAACTTCAGAAGCATAAGGGAATCA